AAGAACCATTCTTGTGGTCTTCTGAACACTATTTCCACTCAAGTACATCACATGTTGCACTACAATTCCCATCATTAAACATGAAGGGCTCATGAGGATGGAGATGGTAGCTGCCATCCTTATGAGGAAGCTATCCTGAATGGCATATTGGCAAGAAACAAATCCTTTTAAAACTGGAAAACATGGTTTCTGTTTATAGAAGTGGGCAGATTTTTAAATTCTTTGGCATTTTTTAAAGAAAGATAATCAGAAACTGGTATAATCAGGCTGAGACAGTCCTCATGTAAGAAACTTATTGAAGTGGGCATGCATGTTTTCAACTGAAAAGACAGCATGGAAGTGAACAGATCTTATTTTTCATTGGCACTGAACTTTGATACTGCTCTTTCTTGATTAATATGCTTTAGCAGTAGCTAAAGACAAGGTAATACTAGTAATATATACTTTTTTGCTTGCTCAAGAATAATCAAACCAAAAAACCTGGCCAATCTTTTGCAGTGTGTTCATAGATCATAAAACTAACAACCTCAACAATTCACTTTGTTAATCTGACATTTATTGCATTCATCTCATTGCTGACAAATTTGTATCCTCCAATGCATTACCAGGGTGGCATCTAATATGGTTTACTGCATTAAGGTATTTAGGTTGGGCAATCAAGGGTGCTCCAGCATATCCTCCAACATTACAGATGAAAACCACCAGAGCCTACCAAATAGGGACAATTCTACAGGGATATAAAATTCTGATTTATTCCTCTGTTTTGGATATGATTTATTTGGATTTTGAATGTGGGACACTATTTGGTATGTCAAATATAAAAAGTTGCTGGACATTACTTGGCTTTTACATCCAGAACCTACAATAGTGTGACATATTCCCCACACAAGGAATGGTCATTGCTCTTTCTTAGCAAATGCGACACATCTGCGGAGAACAAAACCTGAATATAAAAGCTTGCAAGTAGCTCTGCAGTACTTAGGCTGAACATAGTTTTGGCTATTCTGTATTTATTAACTATTAAGGGGACATACAGCTATTCTACACCTTTTATTTTGGAAGGAGAAAAATGTGAATTTCTAGTGAAGTTGGAAGGAGAGACATGCAGTGCTTACCTGGGTTTCTGTTTTGAAAGTCGAATTAAGAGAAACTATTCTAGTTGCCCCCAAGGTGAGGGGCATAATTTGCAAAGAAATATAATAGGCCTTTGGTATATATTGGGGCTTGGGATGCACAAGTTCCACTGGATTCCATTGTATCCAAAGGCAAAATCATTTTTTTGAATTTTCTAAAAAATATTTTCTAGTCATGGATTATTGAATCCACAGATGCATTACCCATGGAAGGCTGATTGTAAAACTACAAATTTTCAGAATTGGATACATCTAGACACATCCATGCCTTGAAACAAATGAATCATGTATTTCCAGTACCTTTCAGCCTGACAAGTCTCAGAATGCAATAGGAAAGGATGCATTTGACTATTTTTTAACATAAACATACAAAATTACCAGGTCAGGCAAAAGATAGCGTTACACATATTCTCTTGTCTGTAAATTTTCAGTGTACAAAGCAAATAATTAAGTCCAGTGTGATGGACAATTCAAACTTTAGTCTTCTTATATATTTTGACACTTGTGTAGTGGCCATAATGTAAGCCTATTGCAATACAGACTTTTAACTGTGGGACATGTTTTTACTGTTTATTGTTGGTTTTTACCAGCATTGAAATCTTGCTGGAGTTGTAAGCTGCCTTGTGTCCCCTTGGGTGAGAAAAGCAGGGTAAAAATGAAGTAAATAAATAAATTGTATGGAATTAATTGTACTGAATTGTGTATAATTCTGTCCCTTCCAATGAAACAGACATAGCTGGTGGATCAGATTCCAGTATCTCGATCAGCTACCTGCTTCTAATGTAACCAGAGGGTTGGGGTGGTTGGAGTGATCTCGTGCAGATTTGTAAGGGTAGGGCTTATGTGGGGAGGGGGGGGGGGAAGAAAAAATGAAGTCAGCTCACACAATAATGGCATATAATCTCGTTCATTATGTGATTTCGTTGAAAACAAGCTAAGGCATTCCCCTTTTCCTCACAAATGGCCAAAACATTCCTTTAAATAAAGCTGGAGAAACCTTCATTTCCATTAAGGGGGGGGGGAGTGGAGGGAAATAAAAACAAGGGGAAAACTACTGAGGGAATAAAATGCATTATTGTAAAGAAAGAATGTGTAGAGCACCCAAGCATGTCAAATCAAAAATACCTCTGGACCTAAACAGGTTGTGTCAATCTATTTAATGTTTTATTTGCTTTCACATAGATTAAATGTTACAACAGAGAACGTTATTCCTGCATACTAACAATGTTGTATCTTTTGAGTCTAGCACCCTACATTCAGTCCAGCATGGGGTTGGTCAAGCATGAGCAAAGTTTGGTCCTCCAGGTGTTTTGGACTTCAACTCCTATGATTCCTAACAGCCAGTAGTCTGTTAGGAATTGTGAGAGTTGAAGTCCAAAACACCTGGAGGGCTGAAGTTTGCCCATGTCTGGAGTAGGCAATACAAAGCCCTCAGAAAATATCCAGGTTTCCACGATTCCTCAAAGAGTATTTTTCTCATATCACTGCAGGAATGTCTCCCTGAATAGAAGCTTGGGCAAATAAATTACAGCCAGAACATAAATAAGGTAGCTGGATGTAGTGAACATATTAAATATTGAAACAAATAAAATGGAGTTTTGTGACATTTAAACATGGCAGCCAACAGCTTATCAATTATGCCATTTCCTGTGTAATAACTGCTCAGAACACTGGAAGGTAGGAGCAAGTTAGCTTATGGGTGAGAGAAAATCTGTGATTTTCTTTTCTCTCAAAGATAAGCACCCAAAACTATTTTTAAAAAGCTAGACATTCAAAGAAGGGCCTTAAGGCACTCATGAATGAATATGCCACAAAATTCCTATTGCAAAGTTTGCTTGGAGATGGCAGGATGTTGGATGAAGCATGCCCATTGGCAATCTTAATGGAATGCTGTTACATGTTTTAAGTGTCCTTACCAGGATTTTTTTTTAAAAGCCTTATTAATTATAAAAAACTGCTGGCAGAATTCACCAAGACAGTTACAAATGCATAACCTACAATAACACATTCATGACTGGTTTGCATTCATGATTGCTATGTATTCACTTGTTTACGGCAAATAAGCAAGTCTGGTAAGTTTTGGGGAGGAAGGCAGGGCTGGGGGTCACTTCTTAGCTATATAACTAAGGTGGTTACATAGTTAAGTTGATGACACAGAATTTCAGCCTGCTGTTTTTAACCTACTGTCATGTAGCTGGAAAAGGACAAGTCCTTTCAAGTCCAGCCCATGGCACAAATTTTGATATAGAGCATGTCTCAAGGTACTGAAAAGAAAAAAGAATTTGGAAAAAATACTTTCAAGAGGAGAAATGACTTCCTTGCCTAGCCAGCTGTTAAAAACCATGAGCACACAGAGAGGCTTCATTAATATCAAGGCAAATGTCACCTACCAGCCATGCTGTATAATGTGCCAGGTACTTTTCATGCAGACAAAATCAAAGCCTTAGGAGATGTGTCTATAAAGCCCTTGAGGGTCTCATGATTGGTAAAAGAGTCTTGGCTTGTTTCAGGCCTGTTTGTGGCTAGAGTCTAAGCAATGAGAAGAACAAGAGGATCTGTGGCTAACACTGTCAGATAGCAGGACCAGTTGGGATTTTCAAATTGGACAAATTATTCAGTAATACCTTGCCCAAGAGAAATACAACTCTTGTAATGCTGCCAACATTAGCAAGACGTTTTGGTGGCCAGCTAATGATTGCCTGTCATACTATTGCTTGTTTTACATGTACATTTTGGGATGTATGCAGATGCTTGAGTGTCAAATTACTACGGGGTGCATATAACCACTTGGCAGTCTGATACAGCAACTGCTGTTTTTCAGGACTGTCTGCATTATCCAGTCAGATAGTAGTAGTTTTCGGGGGGGGGGGGGGGGAGCAGCACACATTGATGGAGCTGCTCTTTTTTACTTAAGGAAAAGAACACAATGTCTAAATTACCCGGTGGTCTCTTTGCACACATATCAATGGTGACTTGGATTAAGTACAATAGTTTTAACTACCAAAACAGTATACAAATTCTGCTCAAATTCAGAAGAAGCAAGATTGAGGGCACCTCCTGTGATGGATCTTTGTATGGGTAACAGAGAAGATAGTTCCACTGCATTCAATAAGGCTTTTACCTCCTTTCAAGTAGGTTTAGGAACATAGCCTTAGTTATTGTTTTTAGAATGTTTTTAGGGGCATTATTGGGATGGTGTATGGATTCCATTAAGGGACCTTCAACCTCCCTTCCCCATTATAAAGCTATATAATATAACATCTGGATTGGCCACTTTCTCAAAGTTCTATCTATATTTTCAGCACAAATGGTAAGGATATTATTTTGACCTCAACATCCTCTGTTCCTCTTTCCAGCTCTATCTGGCCACATGTATTTTAACAATTCATCTTCTAGATTAGAGAACAATACATCTCAACAGCATTCAACGTTAATTTCAATTATGTGTACATTTGTGAGAGGCAGAATGTAAGTGAGATCAGAAGAAGGCCTTTTAACATACTTTTAAAAAAATGGACCTGGGGATCTATGTTCAAAACAAGTTCCTAAGATATTTTAGAAAACAAAACAAATTGAGGTGGGAAGGGAAGAGCAATGGAATATAAGACAGACATTTTAATCTTCACTCGCTGCAACATTCAGGAACCAGTTGTACTCCACAACCTCAAGAGGCTGAACCTCTGCAATACGAATTAAAGGCCCAATGCAAACAAAACAAAACAAGAAAACATGAAGCAATGGTGTAATATGGTAAAAATGGAGTGCAATGCTACTACAGAATGCAATAACAACTTCGGGCCAAAGATTTGGATGGCACCTCTTGACATAAACTATGAAATGTTTCCTCTGAAACATAAGACAAAGCAATAAAAAGAAGATATATGTTTATCATTTTAAGCATAACAATGTGAGTTAAGAGCTTAAGAATACAAAAAAGTACTTGGAATGAATAGTGCTACCCTTTTTCTTCCTCCTAAGTAGGCATAAAAATATTTTCATTTCCTTCTTCTTTTTTCTTCTTCGTCATCTTCTTTCCCCTCCCCAATATCATTAATATCAACAAAGTCCATTCATTTCATGTTACCGTTTACAATTTTAATCCACACACACACACAAATAAAAGATACCCTACTGCAATAGAAAGTTGCTTCATTACCTTGTTTGCTACATTTGCAAATGTAAACAGAGCGAGGCTGAGCCAGCGCTGAATCTTATGCATGATGGAATATCTTTGTTGCATACGTACACTGTAGAAAATAATTATTCAATATGTCAGGCACCATTATTTGAAATGTAATACATTAATATTTACTAGAAAAATAAGTTTTTTTCCTATTTGTTCTCCCAACTTCTTAAATGAAATAAGTTAATCTGACAGTGCATCCAGTAGCTTGTAATATCTCTTGTATATCCCTTCGTAAAAAATAATCTAAACTACTGGCTGGGCTGAGATAATGCAAATGATTGGAAGTCCATCCTTTGTAGATCCTTGTAGCATCTATGGAGGCTTTTCTAACAGCACCTTGCACCGATGACTGAATATTTAGTTCTTTAGCCCTATTTCCCTGAGCAGTTACGCTGAGGAGCTTTCCCTTCATGGAATAATTTTTACAAAAGGTTTTTTTTATTTCTTTAAAGTAGTAAAACAACAACAAAAACAACAAAACAGCCATGAAGGCAAATGCTAGCAACGGTTGGCATTAAGTCTAGTAAAGAAATTGACTGCTGCGTACAAATAACCAAAGTACATTTGGGGGAAGTCAGTCGTGCAGTCAACCCTGAAGCAAAATTGAGAGAGAACAGCTAATGTGAAACATTAAAACTATGCCTATCAAGTTCATAAAACTAGCTTTCAGAGGCAGGTCATTAAAGAGAATGCTTTACTATAAGACTGTACTCCAAAATCTGTATTTTGGCCAAAGTTACCCATGAAAGCCTGCAACTCCTGAGTACATTTTAAGTTGGAATTAAATGAAGACTAGCATGATCTACACTTCACAAGGGCCTCCCCAAATCTTTCAAAGATTTATGAGGCAGGATGGAAAGAAAAACCTCTTCTCTGTGTATATCATTTTCATTTTCAAAGGCCCATAAATCACTTACTTCATGCTTCCTGAGAAGTTTTTCATCTCAAAAAGGAAGAAGGAACAGTATATTGTGTCCTTCATGATCCTTGATCTGCAAGTAGCTACACATCCTATTGGAGAATAACTTGTTGGGTAGCCACATGCTGTTATCCAAAACCCAATGGGGGTACTTCTTCCTGCTATGAATCCCTGAAACGCCACTGCTGAAATGTCTACCACGGCTAAAATCCCAGCAATATTGCTGAGGAAAGTGATGTGTAGGAAACATGTGCTCCTCCCTAACAAGGCCGTACCTTCAACAATATACTATAAGTACATTTCTTCTGAGAAACAAGGGACATGCTTCCTGCACATTCTTTTTCCTAACAAAATAGCTAGGATTTTAGTGGCAGCAGCCCAGAATGTTTGGCAATGGAGAAGGGGGATGCACAATAATCAAGAGGGGCACAAGCAGCCACGGACCATGTGTTGTCCATTTTTTCTCTAAACCTTGAAAGACTGGGAGCAACTGCTGCAGACTGAAAAATGTAGTGATCAAGTAATAGGCACTGACTGATATCCAGAGAGAAGTACTTCCTCCAGATTGTAGAAATTATAATTTCTAATTAGGCCAAAGTGAACCCAAATGAAAAAAATACTACTAGATTTCTGGACATCAGTTTATTTATAAGTCCATTTTGCTATACAGTGTGCATATCTTACTGTACACCTGCTTCAGCATTATACATCTTTGCATTCTAGCCAGCTAAGGTTTTTTTTTTCGTACAAGAAGAAAAGCATTAGTTATCTGCTTAAGATTTTTCCCCCAAAGAGACTTGCCCTGATATAGTGTCTTTTGTATAGTTTTGATGGGACGGGTTGCAAGTGATTATCCTTTAGCCCTACCCACCCCATGCCCCATTCCAGCTGCCATCCATTTTGCCTCTCTTTCTAGGGAATTCACTTTTTTTGTTTATAAGAAAGAAAAGGAGGGAAGAGAAAAGAATGAAGGACTTTATACTGGATAAGGCATGCTTGCTATATGAAGTGCTTAATAAGACATTACAAGCTATTGAATCCCCATCAAGGAAACCTATTTCTGTTTAATTGTGCTAAGTGCTAAGGTTTATTTTATTTTTATTTTTATTTTACTCTTTAGATTTGCCATTCGTTTCAGCTTGTGCATTGTTCCTATGTAGGCCCCTCTGGATGTGAGTCGTGAAGTCATACTTGTCCGTGCAAAAATATTGGCATATACTGCACTGAAAAGGTCCACTGTCACCATGGCAACTCATATGCAAGGCATACATCACTTCATCCAAAAAGACAATGCCACAGTGCACACACTTGGTTGACAGTTCATCTTGAGTACTTCGGTCAACCTTCTCCGTTTTCACTACATTCAAGGGACCTTCATTTTTTACATTGGCCGGTGCCTTCGCTTTCTCCTTGGAGGCACCATTTGCAGTTGGCCCAGGTCTGGAATGTTTTATCGCCAAATCTAGAGGAATGTCATTGTCTGATCCAACAGCTGAAAAATGAGGAGGCAGATTAAAGGTGGGATAAGGCACATAGTTTTGGCAAGGATTTGGTAGGCCAGGCACATGACTCAAGTAGTGTGGATTCCCAGGAACGGGCAGCTTATATTTACTCCAGAATCTCAGCCAATCAGCTTCACTTTGAAAGTCATTGTGTACAAATGGAACCCCAAAAAGTGGGTACTGATACTTTTCAATTGGGCTTCCAGGTGGTGAATAGTTTGGGTGCTTAGCAGGTCTCATGTATTTCTCTATTGGACTCCCTCTCTCTGAGCTTCCTTTTCCTTCTGATATAGAGGAACTATTGCCTGGGTCTCCGGTACTTTCCTGAGGACTTTTTATCTGAATGTGCAAAGGTTGCATCCTTTTATGAATATCCAGAGATTGGCTGACCAATATTGACTGTGGAGCAGAATGGCTTTTAGTCAATGAACCCTGGGCTTCATATTTACTCAGGCTGGGAAGCTGGACTTCTCTCTGGTGACCTTCTGTTAAATGATCCTCTGACCTCCTATCTAATGGGCTGCCGTTGACTTGTTCCTCACTGTTTCCTCTCTGCTGTTTGTTTAGCTGCTCAGCCTGAAGAGCCTCTGGGTTAAGGCGCTTTCTTGTCCGTCTTCTAATGATCTGCTCGCCGTTGTTCTGCTTAATGATGTTTAAAGGCCTCGGAGTCTGCATATAAAAAAACAACATAAAAACATCATAAAGAAAAATGCAATGCTCAGCAAAGGTTTGCAGAACTCCATGTCTACATTGCTGTACCTAGAGTACTATCAAGACATTTTAGTGGAACCATTGTAAGGATAAGCATTTCTCAAAGCAAGAAGCTACAGGGTCTAACTCAAGCTCTACAACTCAACTTGGTACATTTAAACAATTACAACTGTGTCTTGTCTGCCTCTTTGATTTACTGTAGTTGGCATAGAAATGTTGAAGTGAACGTGTCTTCCTACTTTAAACTTGTAAGTTATATGGTACTTTCAAGGGTGTTTTCAGTACAATCAAGGGGAGGATAGAAAAAGGGAAACGTACAGGTATTGACAAGTTAGTAAACCGTGGTCTTTTGGATTGGAATATTTGAATTGGGTCTTGCCCTCTTTCTTCCTCATTTAACCAAATGTGTTGCTATTAGCATGTGAACTATAGGTGACATCCCATTTGAAGAAACAGTCCCACTAGCTAATGATCAATGTTTAAAGGGGCTACGATAGTTGAACCATTAATCACTCATATGAACAGCTTGAAATTAAAATCAAATAATAACAATTTTATCACTATCTTCACACAAATATCATCACTGTCATCACTAATTACAAATTCAGTTGAATTGATTATTTCCTCAAGCCTCCTATTTCATGCTTTTTTTGCCCTGTTGAAGTTAAATTATTTGGGTCCTGAATGCCTCTACATCTATAACTGCTGTATATTAAGCTTTATCCTATTAACATTTTGAATGAGGCCAAATAATTAACTACTATAATTTAGATTTGTAATATGTAGCTCAACTCAGCACAAGAGTAGTGCTTGAAATGCAGCTTCCTCAATGAAGAGTCTTCTGTGAAAATTACAATTCTGCCATTAGGTCCCAAATTTTAAACACATATGCCGACCAATATGCAAGGTTTTACCAGATGTGCTTTTACATCTTTTTTTAAAAAAGTACATTGCACATTAAGGCACATTCTTCACCTACTGTGCTAATTTTCTAGTTCCAGATAACTTCTAATCTAGGATAACATTCATAAATGAAAAGGTAAAAGCCATTACTTTGAATTCTTCCACTTTATTCTGCTGCATATGTAGAATAGGTCTTGAATAAATAGTCACTGTTATAAAAGTTGTCTTCTAAAGAACTGGGTATTTATGATTCTTCAGAACTAGTGGGTGCGGGACACCTGAAACCCTCCTTTATGCTCTGCAGGGGGACTGCAGAGAAAAAATTATGTATTTTTGGGCACTAGGGGACGGTGTAGTGTTTGTGGGGGTTATTCTCACATGGTTTCATGCATTTGGAAAAAATAACCTAGTAATCACACTGATATTTTTTAAATGTTGCAAGGATGTGGTTAGGAGGCTTTGAGGGACTGGTGGTTGGATTCACTGGATCAACGTGGATATTGGGGTAGAGGATGGACTAATTCTTGTGTTCACCTTGATTGTTTCTATTTATTTCTGTGCCCCGCATCATATTAATTGAGGGTTTGCTAGGTGAAGATGCCTGGAAAAAAGGGGAGGGGGGGAACTTACAGAAATCAAGGGCATGTTTTAGAAGTTGGGTGGAATCTACTTATATCACTTTGCCTTGTTTGTACCAAAGTTTGTGACTATACTAGGGATCATGGGAGTTGTAGTCCAAAAGATAACATTTCCAGGCTCCAAAATCGGCAGCTGATTGTGAAGTACCAGAGGAATTGAACAGGGAACCTCTCTATATATGTCACCTTTTGTCACAATGATGGACGTATTACCTTTCCTAGTCAAAAAGAAACCACATTTTAAGTTGTTAAAAAAGGGATGAAGGATGAATATCATTATAGAAATTAAACATAATTTAATCAACCAGCTGTGAAGAAATAGTACTGTATTTCTAAAAGTGTTGACCACTCATAGTGCTGCAGTGTAAGGTAATGTACTGGTAGGTTTAACTTTGGTACAGAGAATTCTGAGGCTAAAATCATGTTTGAGCACATAATATAATCAGGATATTCACATAAAGGTCAAGACACTGCAACAAGAGGACAATATCAGCCAGAATCTCAATGGAAATGGGAGAAAGGCTTCATGATACACTTTCATTTCCAGTATGTGATCTTGTGTGTTGGGGACTGTCCTGAATACTGTTTGGCAACTACTTGCACTGTCAAGTCAAGCTGCTTCATAAGGAAGTATTGGATACTTCCTTATGTGATGATGAAAAAAACCCAGACCCTCCACCATTACCTCCTATTTAAATTCTTGAAGAAACTCTTGTGAAAACTCCCCTGTGTTCATGTATTCTTTTGCCAAAACACAATTTCTAAATGCCTGCCTTTACTTTAGTGCTTTCCTATTTGTTATAGTCTAAAAGGTTAAGGTTTAATGATACCCTTGGCCTTTGTTTGGGCAGAGCTAAATTAAACACGTTAATGTCAGTGTACATCAAACGACAGCTCACTACCATGTTCCAATATTGCTGCTAAAATGGTGTTATCTTAGCTCTGTGCTAATGAAATAAAGGGTTTTACAGCTTATTACCAATTAGCAGTATTACCAGCATAGATTTACAAGAATTGCTTCCTATGCTTTATGAGGAGAGTTCTTTTCAAGCACACCAAAATAAAATTATTCTCGAAGCTATAATATATTTAGTCCTATACACCCAAAAGGTAAAAAATATCAGAATATATTTCTTGAAGTAATATGAAGTATATGTTTTTTAAAGACCTGCATGCTCTTATATAAGCCATTATATAGGCCACAATATATGATCTCTGTCCATGTGCCATTATTTTAATAGAAAATGCAGAGGAAAAGAGAGGTGTTGCATGTAGAATGGGTTCAGAAAAGGTTGTGGGGATATTTGGGGCTGAACATTACCTTCTCTGGTGTATAGTGACTGGTAGTGCCTTTCAGGATTTTGGGTGTTACCTGGCAAGATCTGGTAACCTGCTTGGGTGGGACCTTTTGCATTCAAACCTTCTGCTCTCCCACTGAGTAAAATCTTTGCTTCATTATCAACATTGTGGCAACTCTAGCGACCAATCTTCTACCTCTGATGTTGCTAAACATGACAATCAGTGGGATTTTAATGTTTATACTAGGATGATTTTATGCTTGTCTGAATGTTTAAATTTTATGTATGTCTTATGTTTAATGGTTTTAATTGATTTTAAGTTCATAGAATTAGTTATTATGATTTCTTTGTAAACTGTATGTTGGCATTGAATTTTCGCAATTAGTATGTTACAAACAACTTTGAGTCCTCCCAAGGATGAGAAAGGTGGTATATAAATACAGTAAATAAATAAATTAATCAAATAATTAAATAAACTGCCCAAGTAACCGGAACCTGGTTCAAATTTGGAAGGTAAGGAAACATTTCCTTATGTTAAACAATTCAGGGGCAGCTTATAACCTACCTAAAACTCGCACCCCTAGAGATTTCCAGGACAAATTGTTCACTTTTTTCTGAACCAGAAAAAGGGCAGTTTGGGGACTTTGAAAGGGGCTGAGAGCTGCAAAAACAGTCTTGGACCCCTTAGGAAAAACCTAAAATAATAATGTCAGGTTGCATAACAATGCATGTCTTTGTAATTCTTGGATGAGAGGAAGAAAAGTTTCACTTTGTTCTTTAGGTTGTATCAAAATAATTAATGCCTCATTGGACATCTCCAACACAGACTCCTCTCCATGGTGTATCAGCGTCTTCCATAATGCATCACATCTGATCCCAGAGTTACCACATTTAAAGTAGGAGGGGGAAGGAGAAGCACAGTTAGGAAATTAACCGCAGCTGCCCAGCTTCAGCGGAGCTGCCTAAAATCTTTCCCACATAAAACAAGTAACATCTTCCTACCGAGTGAAGCTTCTGGTAGAGACCACACGCATTGCATACATATCCTCCATTTGCATTCTTTCTCCAGAGAGAGGTCTTTGTGGTCAGGCAATTGGCACAAAAAACACCCGAGCCTCTACGTCTCTGAAAGAAGGGAAGGTGGGGGGGAGACACAGGGTCAAAGGTTAGTCACATGATCTGTGGAGTTAGGACAAATCAACACAGAAGTTTTGTCTCTAGGCTGGCAACAATTGATAATATAAAACCACACTGCCCATAATGAGGTCAGGTTCAATTGTTCTTAATAGGCCCACTGATTTTCATTACAATTTACTCTACAGTGATGGATGAGGTGTGCAAAATGCCACTGCTGCGAACCCCCTCCTCACCATAGCAGCAGCTCTAACTTTTTGAACTTTTGAGTTGGTTCCTTTTAATGACTTAGTTCCAAATGCTGAATTTTAACATTCTATTTTGACATAGAATGACTCCTACTGATCTTGAAGCTTCTTGTGTGTCTTTTGTAGTGGCTTTATTTAAAAAAATATGATCATTACTAACAAATCCCCATAAACAATAACAATGATGAGTTCTTTTTCTGATTAGTTCTGGCCTATATGCCAACTTGCTCTTGCTTCTCTCAGACAGTTTGTCCATAACAATGCATACTGTACAGAATTACAGTCTGATACAACTCTAAAATCTCGTATACAACCTTCTGTTTTCCACAGCTATGTGAAAGCATCGTTCCATTTCAGTAACCAAAAAGTATGGTTTTGCTAATGATACCACTTCCAAAACAGCTTCATAAATGAACAGATCTTAAATGAATGTTAACTGGGCTCCTGACTGTATTCTACAGCTTCACTAACAATCCACTCTGCTCAAACTTTGAGTACCATTAATGAGAGAGAAGCTTTGTAAATTCCTTTTGTGTTATAATGATACCATTAAACTTTTCATTTCCACGAGAACAGTGGGGATTTTTTTTTTAAAAAAACAGTCCAAGTTTGTGGGCACAACTTCTAACAACAATGACATAGCTGTCTTGTTTGGCAATTCTCAATCCCCCGGAAAAAAAGAAAGAAAAACCCAAACTAGTCCATCATTGGTTTATTTTTAAAATAAACTTTTATTAAAACTCCTACACCTCATGCAAGTGTGGAGGAAGAAGAGTTTCGGGAAAATATTAGACTGATTTTGTTCTAAATTAAAAAATTACTAGCCTTGTAAATCAAAATTTCAAGGTTTCATCAAATTTAAGTAATTTATTTAACTTTACTCTATACTGTAGGGAAGGAGGGTGTATTGGTGCCAAGAAAGTACAATGGTTATAATTGTACTCTGATACATTTCAAATGGAAAGCTTTTTGCAGACATAATTTTGGCATGGAGTGTGGAACACTTTCTTGGCATTGAAAGGGCACTTGATTCATCGGGTGTTTCACAATGTATCACTAAAAAGACCTGGTGATCAGCCAGTTCCCTATAGGGTAATTTTTCCATCCAGATGCAAGTGCTATCAGAGGCCCCTCGTCAGCTAAACTAATTATGATCGTGCATTTGCTGATGCCTGCTCACTCTAACATTTTCGACATCCCCCATTAATCATCAATACGAGGAAAATGAATGAAACGTAGAGAAACGAGGGCTGGTAACCTACACAGCCATAAAAATCTAAAATGAGGGTAATAATTTAACAAGATTGGGGAAATGTTTTTCAGTGAGCACCAAAGTCAGGCTAACAATTGCCCTTTTAAACCAAGAACACAATTTCATTAGTGTAGCAGGTTGTGTTACTTTAAGCGGAGGTAGTAAAATCAAGAGCGTTGGATGAAACTCCTGTTCCCACCCTCCCAACCTAATACCACTAAATCAGAGCCATAATTACACCTCCCTGTCTCACCTAAATCTTGATACAATAGGGTCAATTCATAAGTGACTGCTTTCAGAATGCCTTTTGATCCATGTTTAATAAGTTCATTCACTACCTATTATACACACACAATGTAGACTACACTGAAATCATGAGCAAATCCAACACAGCAAACTACAATACCATGAGTCTAGCATCAATTATAAATGTGTATAAGAATTATCCAAATATCATTCTCAACAGATTGATTAACTTGTTGCTGATAGAGCACAAGATATTGCCAATTTTTCCCCTGGAGATAACTAAACTTTTAATTAAGTAGGCTCACTGTTGACCAATGAAACAGTAAGATTATATGGAATTAATTCTGAATGCCCACCACTTGGATCTCATTGAAGAACATCTTTGTAATGTAGGGAGAGGGGGTGGTGTGTTGAGCAGGATGTCATCCTTGCATGAGACTTTCCATGCTTGCAAAGATTTATGAGTGATGATTTTTTGCAGAGCTTTTATTTAAAGCCAAGGAAATAAGTTGAACAAACGATGTGTAATAAAGTTCTCTGATTTGGACATGGCTTAGTTACTGTATAAAGAAAACTCCACACAGTTCACATACCAGCCTATAACTGAGTTTTAGATTACTTTAAGTTGTTCTTTTTTAAAAATTGGCATTTTTTTTCTTTCTGTGGAAAACCGTAAATCTGTAGTTATTGACATTTAATGGAGAAACCGCAGTCATGCTCAGCACAATTATTTCAATAAATATTTCTAAGGTATTTTTGCCTTCAGGCTAAATAGCTTACTAGGTTGACTTGTTGATTGGTTAGGTTGAAGAAGTACCAGATAGAAAATTTTGGAAAGGAGAATTGAGATCTTGAATCCAATTAATCTGAAAAATCCAAGTCAATTTAAGTTCTGGGGTGGTGGTGGTGTGTCTGTCTTCCTTTTAAAAATATTAGATAATCTGTAAAACAGTACAGCGCTCACATCTGCTGTAACCTGGATCCAAGTTATGAACATACAGAATTACATCTATAACTGGAAGCAATATTTCTTGACAATTTATTTATTTATTTACCCTCTTTGTATCCCGCCTTTCTCAACACCGAAAGGGACTCAAGGCGGCATTACATATAGGCAACTATTCAATGCCCTAAAATAATATAAAATTAAAATAAACATATGTTAAAAATTTAAATTCTGTCCCTGTGGCACTTGGATTTTGAAAAAAAAAAGGCTTCTTGTGGAAACAAGGATTGGTGAGAAAGCTTCAGTGGAGATACCCTTTCCCCATGATAACTCTTCCAAGAGTGAATTTCTCTTCCTTAAGGTAGATTTCTCTCACTTTCTGTTGTCTCACCCCTGTTCTTAACTATCAGTCATTTGTAATGCAGATGTTTGTAACTCAGGAACTGCCTGTACATGCAAAAAATCTTTAATGTCATACTCCTTACAATTGCTCAATGTGATTGCTTTAGACCAGTGGTTTTCAACTTGTGGGTCCCCAGGTGTTTTGGCCTCCAACTCCCAGAAATCCTAACAGCTGATAAACTGGCTAGGATTTCTGAGAGTTGTAGGCCAAAACACCTAGGGACTCACAGGCTGAGAACCACTGCTTTAGACCCTTTAGTATATGAGCTCATTGAATGTGGTTTCAGTTATATGCAAAGAGCTTTGAATACTGTAGTACTGCATAGGTGGACCTAGTGATGCCTTGAGACATGTTCTCTTCATACCTCTAGCACATACCTATGGCTAACTTCTGAAGGAAGTTCTGCTGGAAATTGTACATAGAATTGCACTGGAGGCCTAGAGAGAACACTTATCCAGACATTGCTAAGTTTTCTTGCATGATTCTATGGTATGTTTCAATCCGAAACTCAAGATACAATTCATTTCAGGGAAGAAAAATATGGTTCCAGATTACATTGCAAAAATTGTATTTCACAAAGTGTCCTGGAATGGATCCCTTGCGTAGTATACAAACTTACTATACTAAGAAATCATGGGCATTGTAAAGAATTTGCTTTTTAGGTGCATGCCTAATCATCTTGATAGTTTTTGATGGTGAGAGCAACATGAACACACTATTTCTTAAAGCATGCTTTTGATGGTGAATGCCCCTATTATGGTTGGTTCTCATGATCATTTTTTGCAAAATGTGATTTTCCCATTCATTTCTCAAACAAGATCTTGTGTGTGTTTTTGTGGGTGGGAATGGTTCCCATGTGGCTTTCTGCTGTGGCTGTTTCTGGTAATTACAACTCAAATCAGGCAATTGTTCATACTGCAAGAAACTTGCTGGAACTGTAGTGCTGGCACTGTAATTGCAGGGGTGCTTGCACCAGATGTCCTCTCAGTGCCTCCACTTCCTGGGTAGGCCCAACTTATTCTCATTAACACTGCCAATGCAAATTAGCTTCACCTCTCCCCTTGAGCCTAATTTACAAAGAACTAATGAGAATGGGGCAAGGTTAGTAGAGATTCTGCTCTGCCTTCTTGCTCCCATCCTTACTTACCAAATTAGAAAAGATTGGTGAATAGATAGTATCAGCAAAATGGCACAACAAGGCCGAAGGAGCCAGGGGATGAATAATATCAGGGGCATAGTATGTGCTCAGTGATGCCAATCTCTGATGCAGTAATGCAGTGCTTCCCAATTTTTGTTTTTCCAGATATTTTGGATTTCAGCACTCAAAATTCCTGAATTTTAGCCAAGTTGCTTGGGACTTATCAAGAGTTGGTGTCCAAAACCACCTAAGGACCAAGGTTTGGGAGCTGCTACACTAAAATGATGGGCTGAGAAGACTCCCGTAACACAAATAACATTCCCCACTGCGCATTGAGAAACTCTGAAATTCTTAATCAAGCCAAGAATATTCACTTATCATGAACTCACTTCCCTTCAATGTTATTCCTTCACTAATCATATTTTAAGAAAAGATAGCCCTCCTAGTTATCACCAGCAAATCAGAACTTAGCATCACCCAGTGTCACGGCAATTAATATAACTGGTATTCCATTCCATTTCGACATGTTTTATCTTAACCCTAACAGAGACGCTTAGCTATACTTCTAAACATATCTAATGTAAACAGCCACTGCACAAAGATGAAGGGATCCGAATTTCCATCAATGCTACTTGTTACTAATTGGACTTCTTCATGTAAATTTCCTGTACGTGCTTGGGAAAATAAGCCCAAAGGGTGTATAAGTGAAACTATGTTGCTGCTAAGTCAATCTTTAATTATGTGGATCCTTATAGCTA